AAGCCGGATTCACTGAACCACACCGTGTTACTAACTTAACTGCAGTGGTTTGCTTAACAAACTGTGGCAAGGAAGTTTGTAAAATGGGGCGAAATTCACTTAACAACTGTCTCGCTTAGCAACAGAATTTTGGAGCCCGATTGTGGTTGGAAGACAAGGATTACCTGTGCCTCTTTGCAAGCACGAACCTCGCCGGTGTCTACTCTGGAGCAATCAGCTCCACTTTCTGTTTCTCCCATGACTAGTGGTGGATCTATAAAACCTTCTCCTTCAAAAGAGCTTGAAATTCTCCTCCTGCTTCCAATTCACACGTGGAATAGTAAGGATTTCAAAGTAGGCAGGATTCTGGATAGACATGGGAGGCTGTTTTTCTCCACCAGCGGAGATCCTAATGGAATGGTTAGTGTGCTTAACCAGGTTGAGGCCTGGGTTCAAATCCTTCCCCAGCCATAACCCTTTCCTTTGGGTCTACTTCGTAAGACTGCTGGGAAGATAATATGACAAATGATAGGCGGAGTTCTGCGGATCCCTTTGAAGGGAAAGTAGGACACAGAGGTGGTCCCTGACTTATAACCATTCGTTTGAAGTTACAACAGTACTGAAAAAATTAATGACAGTTTGTAAACATCGCAGCATCCCCATGATCAAAATTCGGATGCTCGGCAACTGGCATGTATTTATGATGGTTGCGGTATCCTGGGGTCATGTGATTCCCTTTTGCGACCTGACAAACAAACTCAATAGGGAACCCAGATTCACTTACCCACCATGTTACTAACTTGACTGCATGATTCAGTTAACAACTGTGGCGAGAAAAGTTATAAAATGGGGCAAAACTCTCTTATCTTGTTTAGTTATGGAAAATTTGTGTTCAATTGTGTTTGTGACTCAAGGACTACAGTACCTGTGCAGGTAATAAATAAAGCAAATCTACTACACACAGTGGCTAGAAAAGAACTATTCACTTTCAGGAATTGAGGATTAAACTACAATAGCTCTTCCTTAGAAACTCTTTGGAGAAACTGCTAGGCCAGTGGTGGCGAACCTATGGCACGGGTGCCAGAGGCGGCACTCAGAGCCCTCTCTGTGGGCACGCGCGCCATCACCCCAGTCCTAAGCCTTCAGCTGGGTTTTATAAAAACCTTTTCGTTTTAGGCCTCCACTGCCATGTGCAAAAAAAAAAAAAAGGTTCAATCAGTCAATTTCAACTTCTCACGAAAAAAAAAAGATCTTGCAAAGTTGGAATTGATTGATTGAACTTTTTAGTCCCACCTAGTCTGCCGTTACCACCACAGCCACGCCCACCCAATGGGCCACGCCCACCCAATGGGCCACACCCACCCGGCACCCGACGATGCATAAGTGGGTTTTGGGTTGCAGTTTGGGCACTCAGTCTCTAAAAGGTTCGCCATCACTATGCTAGGCAACCTGAAACCTGATGGAGCCTAATCTGAATGTCTACAGATTACTCCCACATTCCAACAAGTTGGTAACTAGATGCAAACTCCGTCAGCTTCAATATCAGCCCTTCCCCCCCCTTCTTTCTTCCTCTTTGTAGGTCTGCTTTTGTTCACTATCTTTCCCAGCGCAGAATTAAAAAAAGAAAGCAACTCCACTGCCTCAGGAGCTTAACTTGGCTAACAGAGATGTGGTCCTAATCTTTGTTTGGAAAGAACTTCTAAGCAAAATTCATGTAATACGGCAGCTAACGTGGAAACCTTAAGAATGCAATGCTGGATCTAATAAATATGACTGATATTAAACATTGTTAAAGGCTTAACTCCCTCAATCGTGTGAGGTACTAATAACACTCTATAAAGCCTCAGTAAAACCATACCTAGAATACTGCAACCAATTTTGGTCACCACGCTATAAAAAAAGGTATTGAGACTCTAGAAAAAGTGCAGAGAAGAGCAATAAAGATGATTAGGGAACTGGAGGCTAAAATATATGAAGAACGGTTGTAGGAACTGGGCATGGCTAGTCTAGTGAAGAGAAGGACCGGTGAGACATGATAGCAGTGTTCCTATATTTGAGGGGGTCTCACAGAGAGGAGAGGAGAGGATCAACCTATTCTCCAAAACACCTGAGGGCAGGACAAGAAGCAACGGATGGAAACTAATCAAGGGGAGAAGCAACCTAGAACTAACTGACATTGAGAACGATTAATCAGTGGAACAACCTGCCTCCAGAAGTTGTGAATGTTCCAACACTGGAAGTTTTTAAGAAGAGACTGGACAACCATTTGTCTGAAACGGCATAGGGTTTCCTGTCAGAGCACGGGGTTGAACTAGAAGACCTCCAAGGTCCCTTTCAACTCTGTTATTCTATTCTGTTCTATTCTAACTCAGCCCAACATTTCCATGGCTAAGTAAGACAGTGGTTAAATGAGTTTTGCCCCATTTTATGACTTTTCTTGCCACAGTTGTTAGGTGAATCATAGCAGATGTTGAGAAACCTATATGCGGGTCATGGAATAATGGATGGAAATAATGGATCAATGAGAGATACAACCTAGAAATAAGGAGAACATTTCTGACAGTGAGAACAATCAACCAATGGAACACTTATAGGAGTTATAGGAGCTTCATCACTGAAAGCTTTCAAGAAGCTGTCAGAAATGGTGTAGGGTCTCCTGCTTGAGTGGGGGGTTCTAGATGACCTACAGCAGGGGTGTTAAACTGGCAGCCCACGGTCCGGATTCATCATTCGCAGACCACGCTTACCCCAGCTCCGCAAAGGCAAAAGACGTCATGATACGTCAAGTTTGACATCCATGACCTACAAGGTCCATTCCAACTCTGTTATTCTATTCTAACACCTGAAGTGGTAAAAGAGGAAGTAAAGAAAACATGGACACTATGTGAACAAGGGAGGCATGTGGGAGAATTTTTGCACTTTCTTTCATGAGTAACGCTAGCCTGAAAATATCATTGAGAACATTTGATTTCTTGAGAACACGGTCATTTCCAACTGTTTGATTGGTTCCTTGACCAATCAAGTGCAATTGTAGTCACACATCTGGATTTTATTTCCACATACATTTCATTTCATCCAACTCCAGTAGTTTTATTTCTATTTATGTTTTTAATAATGATTTTAAGGCTTTGTTTTTAGTTGTTTTGTTTCTACTGTACGCTACCCAGAGTCACATCCGTGAGGTCAGCAGATATTTGATAAATAAACAAACATCTATACATGCAAGACATTTGGATAGAATACAGTTTAAAAGTGGAATTACAATTCCTGCCTCAGAAAAGGAAATAAAATTGGAAGCCTTTGCTTAACCTCCTTCGGATCTTCCTGAGGGACATCTTGACCTGAATATAAATAGTTGTCTACAGATTTACCCAACAAAACCCTTCCAATAATCTACTCTCTGCAGTTTATATCAAGACATAAGGTTAAAGCTAGATACATTAAAGAAAAAAATTGTTTTAAATCAGTGGTTCTCAACCTTTTTAATGCCGCGACCCCCAACCGGTCGTAAGTCGAGGACTACTCAACCGGTCGTAAGTCGAGGACTACTCCACTGGTGCAGCACCGTTTGCAGAATGGGACTTTTGGCGGGCTCAGCAGGGCAGAGACAGCCTGGACAATTCCTATTGGCTTTTGAAAGCCAATAGAATAAAAGGGAGTAGCACAGCTAAGGAAAAGGGGGGAAAAATGGCGGACTGCGTTGTTTGGCGACCCCCGTGAAATGGTCGTTCGACCCCAAATGGGGTCCCGACCCACAGGTTGAGAACCACTGTTTTAAATGATGGGGTTTTCAGGCTACAACATTTCATTATTCCATATCAACAACTGAATGAAATGAAACCATCTTTGGAAAGTGGTTGCAACCTATCTGGTTAGGTTAGGGAATTCTGGGAGTTGAAGTCTTAAGCATCTTAAAAGTTGCTTAGGTTGAGAAATGCCACTATAAATCCTTACAGAAGAAAACAGAAAGTGTTCCAACCTCAATGGCAAGAGATGTTTTGAAAAAAAAAAAAAAAAAGCCCAAGTCGACAAAACCCACCTACACATTCTCCTTTAAACCTTGCTCTCCATCCTGCTCATCACCACGACCCCAGAATTCTTAGCCAGCAAGACTAGGGAATTCTGGGAGCTGCAGTTGCAGCTTTACCCAAAGGATCCCAGATCTATTCTTTATTCTGATTTCCTTTTATTCAGTTTTGAACAAAAACATCCACTTTAACATCAGTCTCCTTCTCCAGCAGCAGCCTCCCTCTTCCCAATCTGAATCCACTTCTTTGTCACAAAGCCATCCCTTTGGTTTCATTCTTTACTCGCCTCCCTCTTAATCCTTTGCTCAACCACTCCCCTCTTTGTGACCCTTACCTTTTCTTTCCCCATCTTCTCCTCCTGCACTCCTACCGAAGGATCTCAGTCCCAAACTGGAGTACACACTAAATCCTGCCATCTTGGACAGGCATTCACACACACCCCCCTTCACTAGACACCCCATGCTGTTCCCCTCCTTGCTTTGGACAGCCCCATGGACCCCCTAAGTCCCCAATTTCTTTAGTTGCCCTTTGGAAAACCAGAGAAGGGGAACTTACGTTCTCATTTAACCATCTCTTTGAGAAACAGGGAGAGAAAAAAGCAATATTGCTCTTTAGCCAGACCGTGGCGGAGACCCTCCCCTCTCCAATATTATCCTGAGCAGCCTTAGAGACATCTTTCCTTTGGGCCCAGCTTTTCAAGCTCTGCCCCCACCGTCCCCGATCGAGCGGCTGCACCTGCTATAACTGGCCCCAGAGGGACTACAGCTCCCATCCTCCTTTGCCAGCATCGATGCAGCCCTTCCTCTACCTGCACAAGGTAGATCACTCTGCAGAGAAATGGAGCTACACTTTCCCATTCACAGGGGAGCCCGAGCCTCTCCAAGGGGCAAAAGCGACTGCTCGGCCTCTCCAAAGGCCGGGGCCTGGAAACTCAGGCCGACCGGGGGGGGGGAGGGAGCCGGGCCGATCCTGCAGCCCTCCATGGAGCCTCACCTGCGCTGCAGCGGAGGGGCCCCACGAGAGGAGCTCAGCGTGGCGGTGGTGGTGGCGGCGGCGGCAGCGGCCGCCGCTCGGACCCGGGGGAAAGGAAGCCGCGAGGGGGCGGCGGCGGCGGCAGCTCCTCCACCGCCGGCGCTGTCGCCGCTTTCGCTGCCACTGCTGCCACTGCTCCTGCCGCAGCCTCCGCCCCCTGCCGCTGCCCAGCGCCGACTGACAAGCCCGCGCGCGGACTCGCCTCCTTTCTCTCCTGCCCGCCCCTTGCCCCTCGCGCGAGGCACGCCCCCTTTCCCATTGCCCACGCCCCTTTCCTCCGTCTCGGGGCCAATCATCGTTCCGTTGCGAAGCCAACTCCGCCCACTCTTGTTTCCCGAGGGGGGGTTCAGCTGCAGCGCGCAGACGCCGGTTTAAAGGGGAGGGGGTGTAAACATTCGCGCGCTGGGTGGAGCCGCGCGCTCCGACTCTCCTCCTTGTCCTTAGGGAGGCCTGAGGAAGAGCGAAGCCTTCACTTCCGGTGTTGTTTGGAATGCCGCCATGTGCGGGGCAATAGCGTGCGTGGAAAAGGGGGAGGTAACGCGTCGCTCAGGATTGAGCTTGCAAAGACAGAAGTCAGAAGATAATAAAACAGGGGAAGATAGGAAATGCCATGTTTTAAAGGGATACCAATGGTATCTCCCAGCATGCCTGTCGGTTTCCAACCTATGTCTAGTATATGCAAGGGAGAACCGGAAGTAAAAATGTTTACCTGTGCGCTTTCACCAGCTTAGTATGAGATCCTTCTGCAGAAAAAGAGGCACAGATTTGAATAATCTTTGGAAGAGGGGACATTTTCAACTAATTTATTCTATAGGGTCTACATAAATAAGGCTGTCACTCTCTGAAAGAATAGAATAGAATAGAATAGAATAGAATAGAATAGAATAGAATAGAATAGAATAGAATAGAATAGAATAGAATAGAATAGAATAGTTTATTTCCCCTTTCACCAACAGCCAGCCAAATGTTCAGACTGATTTCAGGTCTCTGATTTGGGGATCAGCTCATAAATTTGACTACTTATAGTGAAGATGAAAGAGGATCCTTACTGCCTGGTCAATAGGAGATCAGTTGCTGATCCCTCTGATGTTGTTGAGCCACGGCAACCACAAAAGCTTTCTCAATCAGAATAACATGATGGCTAGAGTTAGAAGGGACCTTGGAGGTCTTCTAGTCCAACCCCCTGCTCAGGCAGGAAAGTTAGGAAACCCTATACCATTTCAGACAAATTGTTGTCCAATCTCAAAAAAGTCCAGTGTTGGAGCTTTCACAACATAACAACAACAACAACAACAATAATAATAGAGTTGGAAGGGACCTTGGAGGTCTTCTAGTCCAACCTCCTGCTCAGGCAGGAAACCCTATACATTTCAGACAAATGATTGTCCAGTCTCATAACAACCTCCAGCGTTGGAGCATTTACAACTTCTGGTCCACTGATTAATTGTTCTAATTGTCAGGAAATTTCTCCTTAGTTCTAGGTTGCTTCTCTCTTTGATTAGTTTCCATCCGTTGCTTCTTGTCCTGCCTTCAGGGGCTTTGGAGAATAGCTTGACTCCCTCTTCTTTGTGGCCACCCCTGAGATAGTGGAACACTGCTATCATGTCACCCCCAGTCCTCCTCTTCATTAAACTTTTGGAGGCAAGTTGTTCCACTGATTAATTAGGAAGGAAATGTACCTGTGATTTATGGGAAGAGATTTGTGGTGCAAAAGTTTGTGTATTAAGGGGCACATGACATGGATTTTTGCAACTTAACATAGTTACTTTGTATTTTAATTTGACTTATTTTTCTCTCTTTTGAAATTATGTTCAAGTTCATTACAGACTGGAATGTAGGAAAACTGTTTAATCCTATCACTGTACATTCCTACGCTGAAAAGATAAACTACAGAAGGATGTCCAGATAAGAAAAAGTTTCTTAATGTCAACTGGCATCTGGTTATCTAACTTCAAACAAGCTTTGTAGTTGATTTACTATGCAAGGAGGTGTTACACTTATCTTGCCAACCAACTTTCCTCTTTCATTTTTGTTTGTTGTGTTAGCTATAAAAAGAAATGTCAGATGGGTCTCAGGGCTCTCCCTTTTCATCAGGACAGTCCACTTTATTGGGGTACCCTATTTAATAAACTGCTTTTAAATGATTTTCCCACTCGGTTGCTTATTGGGAAGGTAAACCGAGGCAAAACCTAGGGCCAGATTTGGCTATCAGTATGATGGGATCATAGATCATGCTAAGCTTAAGAGAGATGTGCCAATTCATTTATAGTGGTTTATGCAAAGCCTGCTAATTGTGGTTTGTAAGAACATGGTTTCTCACTCACCAACTTCTCTCTTCAAATGCATGACCCTAATTGGAGCCTTCATAAAAACCAAGTGTGGGAAGTCAGCCTCCCCCCCCAGAAAGAAATATTAAAAGGGCAGAAAAATATATTTCCTCAAAGGATCTTAAAGAGGCAGAAAAGCATGCCCAGTTTTCTTAATAGTCCCAAGTCTCCCTCCCCCAAACAGAAACCAGCTCTGTAGAAATGCAGATGTAAATCATTCAAGAAAGTTGAAGCTAGAAGATTAAGAAGACAAAGACACCTAAAATCTACATACCCCACCCAAACTCTAAGACAGGACATAATAGGATTAACACAGAGATACTAAAGGGCACTCTCAAACTCAGGTCAAAGTTCATGCCACAGGAACAACTCCAAACAAAAGGCTCCAGAGGGTATAAAAACCCACTCCCTACATGTGCTCTCTCTCTCTCTCTCTTTTCTTCCAGAGCCATCTTTCTGTCTGGCTCTCCTCTTCAATAAACTGCAACCTTCTTTCTAAAGCAGTCGCCATGTTGTTTATTCCCGGCTTGGACTGAACCATGATGAAGACTTTTCCTTCAACACAAGATATACATCAAGCCAACTTTTCAAAAACTATGCCTTCTCTTTTATTTATTGTCTGGAAAGACCGAACAAGTTTTCTGCTCAGGAATAACTATTTATTTATAAGGTCATCTTTATCCAAATGGAAGACCACACTGAATGGCCTCAAAAGAAAAACGGAATAAAATAAGAAAAAAAAATCCTGAATCCAGTGCTTTAGGAGGAGGACAATCTTCAATCTTCCCCCAATGTCCTCAAATTGTACTGCTTACATTCAGAGGGATGATGGTGTCATTATGGTCTACGGCAGTGTTTCTCAACCTCGGGAAGGGTGAGATTTGTGGACTTCCACTCCCAGAATTCCCATGGCTGGTTGGGGAATTGTGGGAGTTTGAAGTCCACACTTCTTAAAGTGGCAGAGGTTGAGAAAACACCAGTTTAAGTCAAGGACTAATGGATCAGAATGGGAGTGTGTCTGGCTCCCATGTTAGAGTAAAAGCCAGAATAATTGTGAAGGAAAAGAAGACCCTCACAATCTTGCATCTGAAGACTGAAATTCAGAAGTGTAAGCTCAGAATCCTAGGGGTGGGAGTGGGGCAGCCAGAGACTGCCCACTCTTGAAGTATGGTTCGGAACAGGGGGTCTTCAAACTTGGCCCTTTTATGACTTGTGGACTTCAACTCCCAGAATTCCTCAGCCAGCGTGCTTGGCTGAGGAATTCTGGGCATTGAAATCCACAAGTCATAAAAGGGCCAAGTTTGAAGACCCCTGATGTAGGCAATTGACTTTTCCCCCCATGTCTGTCTTCCAGGTGGTAATGAGGAGCAATTTCAAAAATTCAGGACTACAATAATTATCTCCTTGTATGTTTTTCAGGGTGGCTTTACTTTTATCGTTGTTTAATAGATAAGGCTTGCTCCTGGGGAGGAAAGCTATGGCAAATCTAGACAGGATACTAAAAAGCCAAGACATCACTCTGCCAACAAAAATATGTATAGTCAAGGCCATGGTTTTCCCAGTTGCAATGTATGGCTGTGAAAGTTGGACCATAAGAAAGGCTGAGCGCCAAAGAATGGAGGCCTTTGAACTATGGTGCTGGAGAAGACTCCTACGAGTCCCCTGGAATGCAAGGCGATCAAACCAGTCAGTCCTAGAGGAGATCAACCCTGACTGCTCTTTAGAAGGCCAGATCCTGAAGTTGAAACTCAAGTAGTGTGGCCACCTAATGAGAAGGAAGGACTCACTGGAGAAGAGCCTGATGCTGGGAAAGATCGAGGGCAAGAGGAGAAGGGGACAACAGAGAATGAGGTGGCTGGATGGAGTCACTGAAGCAGTAGGCGTGAACTTAAATGGACTCCAGAAGATGGTAGAGGAGAGGAAGGCCTGGAGGAACATTGTCCATGGGGTCGCGATGGGTCAGACACGACTTCACAACTAACAACAATAGACAAGGCAGTATTAAAATCACTCCAAACTGCTGGCTTCCTGTTCTGAGCCATACAGCATTAACAGGCACGATGCACTAGTGCAGCGGTTCTCAACGTTTGTGTGACGGCAACCCCCGTCACACAAACGTTATGCGCATGCGCAACGTGGCACGCATGGGGTGCCCGTGCGCGGCGTGCATGCGCAGCGGCGCCCCCATGCGCAGCGTGCATGCGTGGTGGCGCCCCCGGAGGCGCGCCGCCGCCCCCATGCGTGGTGTGCCATCCCCGGAGGGGACAAAATGGTGGATCGCCGCCTTTGGCGACCCCCGAAAAGTGGTCGATCGACCCCAAATGGGGTCGCGACCCATAGGTTGAGAACCGCTGCACTAGTGAGACAATTGAGAAAAAATATGAGCAACTCATTCCTACTGGTGCATGTTCACCTTCTATATTTATCATATAACTATAAATATATAAACATATAAAGAATGGTTGCTGGAATTGGGAATGTCTAATTTAATAAAAAGGACTAGGGGTGAGATGATAGCAGTGTTCCAATATCTAAGGGGCTGCCACAAAGAAAAGGGAGTCAAGGTATTCTCCAAAGCACCTGAAGGCAGGACAAGAAGCAATGGATGGAAATTAATCAAGGAGAGACGCAGTCTAGAATTAAGGAGAAATTTCCTGACAGTGAGAACAATTAATCAGTGGAACCGGGGGTTGAGGACCCCTGCTCTAGATCACATTGTGACTGGCAGCAAGCTGTGGGCGTATACTGGTCCAAGATCTATTTTTTTCCATGTAAACAATGCTGTGCTTCAATGGTTAAATGGCCTAGACCTTGGTCTTTGAACATATATTAAAAAAATATATATATACTTCATTATGTCCTACTT